CGTTGCACCACCACCTACATGTACGCATGCAGTGACAATTTTTTTTGTTTTTTTTTTAGTAGTAAAAGCCTCTTTTACGGGCGAACAAAACACAATTTGCCATGGCGGAGGATTGAAAACAAATCACATAATGATGACGTCGCATGTGATCAGACAGCAAGAGAAGCATAGCATAGTCCGCACAATCACGGGGCAAGGCTCAACGGGACATCCTAGCCTCCACGACAGCCAGGGAGGCACCGCCATCCATTGGAGGCTGCCAAACTCGGCGAGCCCCACGCAGACACATGACACTCGAACGCAGCAGGGCGAAAGACAGCCTGCATCGGAGGTGGGCAATTAGCACAGAATACGCCTCCCTCCCACGTAGCGACTGGAGATGTGCAATCCGGCTCACCAGTGCAGCGGCACCCTTGCCGCATCCTCCGGTGGAAGAGAGCACAAAGGGGAGAAAAGTGGATCGCTCCACTTCTCGGACTCTCCGATCATATCGACGCCGTTTCTCTTGCTCATGGTGCCGGTAGCAGCCAGAGAGAGAGGAGGTGCGGTTCGAAGACGCATAAGGGTTGAACACCCGTACATCAATAAAAGTGCGCTCGAACCGACCCCCCCAAACTCCACTGGCCACCACATCCAAACGAGCTTGATCCTCGGTTGATGCTGACCGGAGCTGAAACTGCTCCCCAGTCAGGGGTTGGAGATGTGGCTCCACTGCAGTGACAATAGGGAGGTTTCGCTCTACGTAATTACGTATGAAAATCCGTATGTCGTACGCGCCGGGGAGCGAGGGCAACTTTCATACGTAAATCTCTCTACGGATTTCCGTAGGAAAGCTCTTTCCTACGTTGGGTCCTCCGTAGGACTTTTTGAAATAATTTTCGCTTTTTCCGCATTTGTCATTGGCAATATTCAAGCCGCGCGAAACACAAGGTACACACACCGTACACCACGTGCAAAATATAATGGAAAACGCGGTTTCGGTTCATGGTGCATACGGTGGGCGCATGCAGCCAACGCATCTCCAAAGCACGGCTAGCCGGCTGTTCATATGATCACGTCAGCGGACATCTAAGATGGCGTCGGCTTTGAGCATGAGTCATTTGAAAATTCTGCTCGAGATACGCATTTTTCCTAAACTTATCGTAGCAAACGATGATATCTTCGGCTTCCTCCGAGCCTGTTGACCAGTAACTCGCGATTTTCCAGAAGAGAAAGGAAAGACGAATCGTTTGATACCTCGCTCGACGACGAGCGTCGTTTTGGTCCCGATCGTCGAAGAGAATTGGGCCATTTTTTGTTCGTCGTAACTATTGTTGTATGTTGTTATGTAGCCGTATTTCCTGTTCCCAGAGAAGCGTTGCTGGAGTTTTCCCGTGCTTTCAGGGAGTTTTCCTGGTTGGCCCAAGGCTTCGGCCATCCGACAAACATAAATTCGTGAGCGGAAGCTGGTACATTTTTTTGGAAGCTGGTGGAGATGTTCTTGCACTTTGTGTGATTTTTAGGGCTCGATGGATGGTCTTCTGCATGTCCTGGCATCTGTATGCTGGATCGGTGGCCAGAAATTCGCTGATTAGCCTTGCAGTACTACGTACTTTGCAGCTGAGCATGAAAAATGGCCTCAAGGGCATGGGAGTTGATATTTCGGAGGACTTACTTGAACATCATGCTGCTGCGATCATGATAATTGTGCACAATTGTGTTACATGACAGTCGCACTACTAAGCAGTGATAGCTGTTCCTTGTGTTGAATTGAGTACAAACATTATACATCATGACTAGAAACTACCACGCGATCAAAGGTATGCACAGCACGAGTACGCAGCAGCCGAGTCCTGGAAGACGCTCGCACCGTGATTTGGTGGTAGCGGCATAGCACAGTAGAATGCATGCAGCATACTCCTGTGTTAAGCCACAACTGACAAACGTTACGTGCCTACAACAAGTCATCTACAACAATGTACATGCCATCAATTATATATTCACAGCGTAACGGCACAACTTCCGAAGGCAGATGTCACAATTGGAAGAGAACATATTTACCAGGCAGACAAACTGGGTGTAACTCCAGTCAGACAGCACAGGCATAAGTCACAGCAAAAGCACACTCATAGTCATGGCTACACACAACACACGCAGGATCGCATACGTGCGCGCGCACACGCACTCACCCAGACGCACACACAACATGAATACCGATGTGCGGCACTGAAAAATTTACACTGCAATAAGAACAGGAAAATGAGCACATACGTGGTGTATGACTACCACTCAATAATGGAAAAAGGCACTAGATTTAAAGTTCAGCTGAGGCCGCGTGACGGTGTTATGTCCTGGGTCAGACTCTTCGTGGAAACAACCATGCACGGAGATAACAATAACTATGGACTGTCGGGATTAAGTGGAGTGCAGCCATGCTTACACACTGCCACTGTCCAAAGAGGATGATGGATTCATCGCCTGCTGACGTGTTAGATGAGGGCAAACAGTAACACACCCTGCGGACCCTCAAGGCTGATCATAAGGCTTTCGTTGCTGCTGGTTCCCAGACGTCGCTCACAACGATGTGTAGTAGCGTTGTTATCCGGTCCTGAATTCTGCTGGTCGAGATCAGCCATACCGTTGTGCCAGTTTTGCATCTTGACCTGGGGATCCATCCCTGGATTTACGCTGCATCAATGCTGGCAGAGGTCGGCCAGCTTGATAAGCACAACGCCAGCCGCATCCAACGGCAACAGCAACGAGCAGCACACAGCATTGGTCACACTACATGCCAAGCTGCAGCAATGCATAGCCGACGCGGAAGCAGCCTAGCAGAAAGCCCCATGCATTTAAGGCTGGCCCAGCAACTTAGTTCTGCAAGGCCATTAGCAGTGTGCCACCAGCAGCATTTTGGAGGTTGTGCCGGCAACTAAATCCAGCAGGAGTCGCAGGCAGCATTGCATGATCAGACTGACAATTTCAGGCGACAGTTTGTTGCTGAATCTCCTGCTCACTCCCATCATATCACTACAAGGTAGCTCATCCATACAGCTAATACTGTGCGGTGCTCTTATGTCGTTGCCGCGGAATGATACTACAGTAATACCAACTGTAAGAAGCCGTGTTGGATCAGTTTTACACTGGTTGCTGTATTCCGAGCTCCAATAGATATTCCTGGGACAAAACCACGAACTAGAAATTCAGTCTTGCACTGTTTCTTCACTTCCATTGTCTTCTGCAGATTAATGATGATGGCTTAGCACTGAGCAACATCGAACATTTCATGAGCTCGTTCAAGACGAGATCGTGAAGAGAAACAAATGCCATGTTACCCCTAATCTGCACCTTTTAGAGATGCACGCCGTGCCAGCTGTAACCCGACTCCATGTGGCCTTGGCTTGCTAGTTGAGCAAGGCTCAGAGAGCCGCATCCATGCGGAATTCAACTCCCACTCTTATTAGAGTGAAGCGTTCCTGCGCCCATGAAACGGCTCGAAGCGATCGCAACGCCTATCAAGAACGCTGCCCATGTCCAGGCCACTCCGTGGCCGTAGCTAAGGCATGGAGGAAAACGGCATCCACTATAATCCTTCTCTTTCGGCTAGCTTACTCCATAGTGACTAAGTCCTGCTCTTCTTCGTCCTCCTTCTGTTACAATTTTTATTTTGTTGCTTTGATCTTCGCGTTTGGTCAGGTCTAACAAACCCAATTTACATAGGGTTACCTAGTTGATTCTACTTGATTCCAAAAGGATCCACCTGAAAACACACCAAGTTCATAAATCGAACGTGCAATGTGCAAATTTGCGATTTTCCAGTGAATTCGACGCCATTTTGATAGATGGCCGCAGCTGAACAGCCGTGTAAAGCAACAACGCATGTTTAGCAGTCGTGGAGAAATCACGTAGGGCGAAACCCAACAGCTCTGATTTTTACGTATGAAAATTCCGTGCATTTCATACGTTATTTTCATACGTAATTCCGTAGAGCGAAACCTCCCTAATGCTGCACTAGGTACCGTTCAACTGCGCGACCCATAACTAAGCATTCAAATATAAGCAGTCAATATAGCCCTAAGGAGTGAAATATGCAGGAATATTTGACTGCTCAGGTATAGCGAAAATCAATGGGAGTCAATACTAAGAGAGTGATAAACTACTAATATTATAGTACTGCACATGTATAATTATTATGTACAGTCGTGGGCAAAGAAATCCGACCCTCGAGTCGAATTATAAAGTAGCACCGTGTTTCCATTCTCTTTCCATTCCCTGCATGTTCCCAAAACTGATCCGAGGTCTTAGGGCCGCAGGGGCCTTGTCGCTACTCTCGGCCCGTGCGTTGGATTTCTTTGGCCACTGTCAGTTTTAGAATGTACGGTGGTCTCCACCTACAAGTAGTACCTTGTGACATGCTGTCAACCAACAGCATTTTCAACAAAACAAGGAGAGCGGCGAGCGCCCAGCTTCTGCTGAAAAAAACAATGAAGCTACTTGACAGAATCATACAAACCTTATGGCAGGCATTTCCCCCAAAAATCCGCTCCATTTCTTTATCCACTTGAAGTACTGAAGTACATACCAAACTGTGCACCATGGAAATTCATAACTAATAATTTACTTGTGCCCACAATTTCCATGTTACAAAGTGTTTTCCTTGGCTCACCATCTGAGTTCAATGTATACCAAACATGCAGCGAGCGGAGTCCTCCGGTTCGATAGAGTGCTCAATGCGGAAGCAGAGCAGTAACACACGAGTCACAGAGTACCACGTGTCTGGTTTGTTGTCACTAATAGTTTCATGGCAGATGGAAATCTTCAGACAACTGAGTCGTGTACCAAACATGCATGCAACACACCAGAACAACACACTAGAGCAAGTGCCAAATTCTGCCATTTTGTCCGCCATTTTGTCTGCGGGCACTATCCGGCAGGGCTAGTATTATGGCCAGTCGAATAATGAAAAGGATGTCAACTATCGCTGAACAGACTGTGCCGGGACATTGCCAATATCAAAGAGGACGAGTACTGCAGTGGATATGATAAGAACAGTATCGTGGCAGCAAGCCGCCGGGCATTGGCCAAATATTATAGAGAAGAAACTGGAGCATGGTCGGTCTCAATGCAACACAACAAAGACCACTAGACATTAGCTAAGAATCATAGTAACAATATTACTTGTACTTGAGTAAGAGTGGCATTACAATTTACATGCGGTGAAGCAGCGTACTAGAACAGGCATACATGTAAGTACTCTGAATGACAATAATATCACGTCATCAAATAATTGACGTCAATCACGCGGAAAAACTGTTGCACGCGAACAAACGAAAACGAATCAATCGAAGAAGTACATCGAGGAGCGGAGCAATGACACCTTGTCGTTGCCAGCATGTAGCCGCGCTCAGTGCTACAGTCAGGCAAGAGATCATGGGGTGATCCCACCCATGGCCATTGGTGTATCGTCCATTGTGCTAGAGTCTGGCTAAAGATGAGGTGATTCACCCTTGGCCATTGGTGTATCGCTCAAAACCAGTCACCACCGGGACGGTTGTGCAATCTTGAGAACTGAACTACTTGAACTGAATAGGGAAATCATAGTTGGAAGGTGGCGCAACCCAGGCGTGCTGCTGCTGCTGCTGCTGCTGGGAGTATCTCACTCAAGGACCATTAGTCTGAAATTAGAGTACCTTACTGTTGAAGTGTATTTTCTCAGTTCGTAATGTAAACATTACTATGTTTCTAATCTAGTATTCTAAATTCTTGCCCTGAGCATTTCGGGTGCACACATCAGTAACGTTTAGCAAAGGACGCGCACAAACTCAGCCGGAATGTAGCCCATGCGCTCGGTACGCGCACAGAACGCCCAGAACAACGGTGCGCGCATGCCCTGGGTGCGGTCCAGCTCCGTGAAGACGATGTCTCCTTCGACAACGCTGAGAAAGCTCCTGTCGTCGCTGGTGCACCGTAGAGTCACGACCAGTGATGTTTTCATGGCTGACGGGCGTCGATCGCGATGTTTCAGGTCCTCCATGGGAGTGCCCCAGAATGGAGAGCCATGTTCTTGTTTGACGCGGGCACTTTGCTGCAGACGTCCGGAATGTTTCCGAGAAACGACCGTCTTTGGCATGGAAAACGACACCGCCTTGCCGCTGCGTCGCTGGCTATTCGACTTGTGAGGTTTCAGCGGCTGACGTCCCGAGGTGGTCGGTCCCGGCATGGCTGCTTCCTGTACGCATGCATTCAGAAAGGAACTGCTGCGGGTGGCCTGCTTGTGCGAAGGCTTGGATACAAGCGGCCCAGTGGTCGTGCTGTCTGCCTGGTCAGCAGCTCCGCCAGCTTGCCGAGCACACATTCTCTGTGCACTTGCACGATGAGATGAATTCTCTGGACTCGTGCCCAGGATTTTACCGTGAACGCGATCCTCCAACGGCTGCGGCAGTGGCGAGATCTTCTGCCGCGACGTTGCCCTTGCCGATGGGAATAGCGTATGTCGGTGTGTCGGGCAAGAGTCAGATTTCTGCGAGGCAAGGCCACAGTGAGAGTGTTGCCTCCTTGCGAATATGATTTCCTGCTTCACCTCCTTGCTATTCGGATCTCCATTGACTGTTGGATTAGGATCCTGAGGAATTATGACATCATCGTATGGACCAGAGAGGAGAGATGGTGTGTGGGAGACTAGAGGATGCCGTCGTAGATTATCACTTCGAATCAACGGGCACGAGTCATAATGCATCTCCATGGACGGAACATTGCTGACCTTCGTCTTCTTGTTCTTGCGTGATGCCTTGGCAGTCGTGTCCAGGGTTGATTGTCTGGCTTGGGCAAAGTTCTTTGTGTCCACGAAGAGTGGTCGGGTGCGTTTCGGCTTGGGGGGCCTGGGTCGGGAGAGAGAACTCTGGCTACCGCTGCTACTCAGTGTGCTGGCGGTTGCCGAGAGTTTTCGAACGGCATTCAGTCGTCTTGCAGCCTGCTGCTGTTGCTGCTGTTGTTGCTGCTGCTGCTGCTGCTGCTGCTGCTGGTGCTGGCTCTGGGAAGCAGTAGCGCAGGGCTGATGTGAATGTTGGGCTGTACGTCCGGCCACCACTGTGCTCCCCTGGTGTTTTCTCCGCGGCGGCAGTGGTGTACTGGTTGCTACCGGCAGCAAGTAGCCATCAGAGCTCTGCGGACAGCAGACGCTCAACACATCATGTGCATCATCGGGTTCGGTGACCAGTACGTCCGGTGGTGGATTAGGCGCCATGGCTTTTGGTTTTGCAATTACACTCTTCTCTTTATCATTGCCTCTAGTGGAAGTCAAATATTCTTCAACCGAGCCAAAGCCGCCGATAAGAAACTCGCCATTGCCCAGGTCGGACATGCGAAGGGGATTGACACGACTCATGTCTTCATCTGCACATGTTCCGCTCTGCACGGTGCGTGCATGTTGCAGATGTACATGACGGGGTGATGAGCTGTCCATGGATGTATTCACTGGTTCACTGTGATTCCCCTTGCTGCACACTGTGGTGGTGAGGTGAGAATCAGATGCTTGTAGTGAGCGCTCACCGGTTGTTGATTTACTGCCAGTCGTCGTGCGTTTCAGCTGCCGCACTTTAATCGAAGTGGGCATTGGCCTAGGGTCAATCTGCTGCTGCTGCTGCTGCTTCTTTTGGTGCGATGACTGTTGGGGTTCAGCTGCAGGGGCAGTCTGAGCGCCTGGCACATCCTTCAACTCCAGACGTGCAGCGGTAATCAAGTCACTGCTAGCATTGCTACACAGACTGCACTCGGCGTTACCCGCGGAGCAAGATTGCTCACCGGTGCGGTGTAGACACGGGAACCACTCAAGCCGGGCCCGACTGCAACAGTACGTCTCTGAATGAGCTGTGGAGCGGATGGAAACGCGATTACCATCGGTACGCTTTCTAGCCAAGCAATTGCTCTCGTAGGAATTAGCATCCAAGGGCTCGTTTCCCGAAGGCACTGCAGATGCTCTCGCTGTAACTGTAGTCGATGGCTGTTTGGGTCGCTGTGCGCGTGTCCGCTTTCGGAATGGAAACCAACGGCGTGGAGACTTGCCAGTGCTTCTAACACTGGTCACCGAGACCAATGGTTGCTGCTGCCGTCCAGACTTGCCAGTGCTTCTAACACTGGTCACTGGGAGCACTGGTTGCTGCTGCCGTCCACTGTGTATAGTGATGCTGGGTGTGTTTGACGACGGAATTCTGGTTACATTGGCAAGCGATGAAGAAGACTTCCTGCCGACATTCAAGGTACTGGTGGACTGTGGTTGTTGGTGTTGTTGTTGGTGTTGTTGTTGTTGCTTACGGCGCAGTGATCCTTCACATTGCCGAACGCACTGTCGGGAAGCAGGCACACTGGACGGCGATCTTGGATCCACATCCTCATAGTCCGGTTCCTCGCAATCGTTCACGTCGACGACATCATCGTAGGTGACGCTGAGCACTGCTTCGGTGACTTCTCGCCCTCTGCTGCTGCTACTCGTGTCTATCCGCTTGGCTTGTGGTGAGGTTTTGGTGCTGCCGTTGGGATCAAGTGTGGAATCCGGTGACACGAATACATCAGAACTCGACGTTGTCTCCGATCTAGTGTCCGCATTGCAGCGAGACGCTCGCTTGTCAGACGTCTTGCTCTTTCCTACGCTGTAGTTGTAGTATCGGAACGACGACGAAGCCTGCTCACCCTTTGCCAGCGTGACCACAGTAGTCCTGGTTGGCAGCCGCTGTGCTCGCTGAAGCTCGCATGTTGAGGATACCTCGACCCGTGTTCCCTCCATTACCACAGGCTGTCCAGCTAATGGTGAGCTTCTCTCAGGAGAAGAAGTGCCACGATCTAAAAGAAAAGAAGAAAGATCAAGAAGCAAACAAGCCATTGTTTGAGTTGTTCCCTGTGTAGTGTTATTGCATTACTATCCTCTACCAATAGAATTGTTGTAATGCTTTCAAGCATCGGACATGTAGGGTTGTGCTAGGGGAAATGCAACTCAAGGCCGGCGCGTAGTTGACATCCTGACCATGCATGGCCTGTGGAGTCCTGGAAGTTGCATGGATGCTGCTGGATTTTTTAATGATAAATGAAGAGCTCGGATGCAAAACGCGCTAAATCCATTTCATCACTTTTCGGATAATGGCAAAAAAGTATTCATTTTATGTGCGGTTGGTATCTTAATCCAAATTTGGGTTCCAGATTTCGAATGTGAAAATTTGCCTGGTGGTGCCTCTCGGCCTTTTGATGACACTGAGCTGGAAATCAAATATTCTCAAATTTGGCATTTGCATCTCAGCTCTTCATGCTGGACAGTCCATGAACGCTGGAATTGGTGAAAACTTAAATAGTTCGCACGCCATGGCTGTACCCGCCATACCAGTACATACACCGGACCTGCTTGGCACTTGAAAGATACTCTTTGTTTTACTAGGGGTGAAACGAATTTTAGAACGTTCGACTAGGTTCACTCCAAATGGGAGTTGAAGAGAATTCGATTCGCTACTTCAAGGTGTCAAACGTTCGTCGATGCACGCGTAGGTACGTTCAGTCACATGCTTGTAACTGTTACTGCAAATAACAATGTACATGTATACCGTGCAGAGCTCAGCCAGCCACCCTGCCACCATCGGGCCCCAGGTCCCCATTATAGGTAACAGCAGCTATTCAAAAAAGAAAGTGATTGCATATTGTCCAATTCTTGGTTTTACGGATGTACCGTAACGTACCGCCAGAGCGCCCCACCATCTCATCCTTTCGTGGTCGTATTGTGGAGGTGGTCTGCTGTCTGTAGGTCATACGACATGAACCTTGTACACATATTGCACGTTTTGCAGTCAATCCGTACCTTCGAATAGACACAAGCTCCACACAAAAACCTGCCAAGTGTGACCTTAGTACACCTAAGATTCTCACGTGGTACACACTTCGTTGCACTCTGCCATACAATTTTCCTTTCCCTGGCTGTAAAATCAAGGTGGGGCGCTCTCGCGAGACGGGGCGCTCTGGCGGTACTTTACGGTAATGGAGTATTTGTGTGGACATTTCCGGGGGCTTTATTTAGTTCGTGAGTTCGTCAAACGAAGCGTACAGTTCGTCAGAATATTTCGTTCGCCTCTATTGGGGTTCGTTTCAGCCCTATTTTTTTTACATTCAATTGTTCTTTTGAAAAAGAACCAGTGGATTTTTAGTCCGGTCTTGACGCTGGTGCCCAGCCGCTAATACCGGTATATACATCTGCAATTATGTTTGCTTGGAATACTTTTTCCTCTCCTCCATAATAATATACAATTCTCTCCAAAGGAGAGAGAAACAGCGTAACCTCTTTCAATCAGTCACTGGACGGACATACTGTTCATAAAGTTGAATGTTACAATTACGGACACGCAATGTAATAGTTTTACCTTGACATTTCTTGCTTGTCTTATGGTAACACCTTGTGTTCCTACTATTCTCACTCCTGCGGTTCTCACCTTTCTTTTGCTTTATAACCTCTGGTTTGAACATCATTCGACGAATTCTCCAATCAATCAAGTCTATACTGTTACACTGGTAGCTTGAGGATGGTTGAGATCATCGTTTGCCCTTTGACGTGCCTTGTGCTCCTGGCCGCTACTGCTCTGCTATACGCCGCTTTCCGTGAGATCCGCCGCGCTCGGGACAACGTGGCTGCTACAGTTGGACGACATCAATTACCTGCTACATCAAGCTCAAGTCCTCCGGATCTAGCCCCGTGTCGATCGCGTTCTCTCTCCCAGACAAGCCCGAGCGTCAAACGCGTTACCAGAGAACCGAATGTTTTCCATGGCAACCCTTCCGAGTTCAAAGAATGGGTATTTACGGTCGAGTTAGCCTTGAAGTGCTCACCTCAAGGTGACCCGGAGAGCCAAGTTAACTTTGCGGCTAGCTACCTCGCTGGGAATGCGCGTCTTTGGCTAATTTCTTCCCTGGAAGCAGGTGAGCAATTTTCGGATTGGCATTCTTTGAAAAGCGCCCTAGCGCGAGTGTATGGCCCGCACTATGATGGGGAAAGAGTGCGGTTGGATATGTTCTCTATCCAACAGCGTGGGTCAATTGAATCGTACGTAACGGAGTTTTCTCGGCTAAGTTTACAGGTGCCGGAACTTGACGAACTCTCCAGAGCCTTGCTATTTGTCAACGGCCTGCACGGTAACATGCGGACCTTGGTAGTGAAGGAACACCCCACTACACTGTCAGCCGCCGTTCAGTCAGCGCTAGCAGTCGCCTCAGACAGCCGATTTCAGCGCAGACCACCACTGGCGACCGCGCCGGGATTCGCACCACCATCAGGTAGCAAAAAGCTAACAAAACTAAGCCCCGAGGAACGTGAGACATTACGAGCCCAGGGGGGCTGCTTCGCATGTCGTCGACCAGGCCATATGGCCCAGAATTGCCCGCAGCATCGAGATCACCCAAACGGTGGACGTCAGTAAGGCCGATGCGATTACTGACGCAGCAAGAAAAGGCATCACCTGCGTGTAGTGTGTGCTCCGTCTCTACCCGTAACCGATTCAGTAGCCTCGCTGTGGAGGATGTTGACGATGATGCTGAATGCTCCGAAGCCAATTTCAAGCGAGATGTTACACCAACTATTGAGGCCCAGGTTACCAGCGTCAATGTGGAAACGGAACATGAGCTCCTGCGTGTAGAAGGCAAAATCAACGGTCGTCGCGCGCTTATGTTAATAGATTCGGGCTCGACCCATGATTTCATTGCCGAACAGTTTGCCGGGAGAGTTAACCTGCCAACCGAAATTGGCTCGGAAAACCTGAATGTCACGCTGGCTGATGGAGCATCAAGCTCGTTTCCCATGGAGACGACCCATGAATTGAAGGTTATCGTAGGCGACTTCAGCGATAACCAAACCTTCACGGTGTTCCCCCTTCATCGCTATGACGCTATATTGGGGAAACCTTGGTTAACGCGTAACAATCCAGACATAAACTTCCGGACGAATGAAGTCAGGTTGAACTCGAATGGTTTGCCTTGTGCGTCGCCCAGTCAAAGCGAACCGACCGCTCCTGTGGAGGCGATGTTCATATCTGGTCGTCAGGCTAGGCATGCCCTTAGGAGTGGAGACGAAGGTGTTCTGGCGTGGGTCAGCGTAGAAGACGGCATTGGCAAGGAACCTCCCGACAAATCCACTCAGAACGAGCACCCAGATCTCAAGGCCATGTTCCGTGACTATGACGATCTTTTCCCGGATGATCTGCCAGCTAGACTCCCACCAGAGAGGTCTGTAGACCACGAAATCCGCCTGGAGGAAGGCTCATCACCCCCATCGCGACCTGCCTATCGCCTGCCCAGGCCAGAAATGGAGGAATTGAAGAAACAGCTCACAGAACTCTTGAAAAAGGGTTTCGTAGAACCAAGTAAGTCCCCCTTTGGTGCACCGGTGTTTTTTGTCAAGAAAGCTGATGGTTCGTTACGCATGGTCTGCGATTGGAGGGAGCTAAACAAGATAACTGTTAAGAACAAGGCGTGCTTGCCCAATGTGGATGATTTATTCGATACCGTACAGGGCGCTAGGTACTTCACGAAACTAGACCTCCGATCAGGGTATAATCAGATTCGCATTCAAGCTGAGGACGTGCCCAAAACGGCGATTAACACTCCCTTTGGGCATTACCAATTTAGGGTCATGGGATTTGGTCTCACCAATGCACCGGCAACATTTCAATCCATGATGAATACGATTCTTCAACCATATCTGAGGGAGTTCGTAGTCGTGTTCCTAGATGACATACTCATCTTCAGCAAAACGTGGTCGGAGCATATGCAGCATGTCCGGTCGGTATTGAGCGTGCTCCGGGACAACCAGTTATTTTGCAAACGGTCAAAATGTGAATTTGGCGTGGAGAGTGTGCGGTTCCTGGGACATTGCATCGATGGACTGCACATCGCCCCTGACCCAGACAAGATTGCCGCAGTAAAGGTCTGGCCCGCTCCGACTTCCGTCACAGAGGTGAGGCAATTTCTTGGATTTACGAATTATTTTAGGCGATTCATAGATCAATACTCATCGCTCTCTAAGAACTTAGAGGAGATAACGGGAAAACATGCACGATTCGAGTGGAACAGCTCTCGGCAACATGCCTTTGAATCGCTAAAGCATGCCTTGTTGAATGCGCCCCTATTTCGGCTGGCTGATGTGAACCGACCATTCAGAGTGGTAACAGATGCAAGCGATTTCGCCTTGGGATGTGTTCTTCTCCAAGAACTAGAGGAAGATGCCTGGCATCCAGTGGCTTATGCTAGCCGAAAATTGTCTGCTGCGGAACAGAATTATACAGCTACAGAAAGAGAAACATTGGCCGTAGTGTTTGCGCTAAAGACCTGGCGCATCTACCTCTTTCAACACTTTGAGGTCATTACAGACAACATGGCGGTAGTTTATCTGAAAACAAAACCAAGCATTACAAAGAGAGAGGCGCGATGGGTTGAATTCCTAGCTGACTATAACTACACAGTCCGTCACAGACCCGGCAGAGAGAACCCTGCAGATCCCCTTTCGCGTCGCCCAGATCTCCATGAGAGTAACCTCGTGGAGAATGTAGTACCACGTTTGAATGCTATTGAGTATGCTTTAGCAATGAATGATGACGTGTCCAATACAATATCAGATGCCTACCAGAGAGACAAAGAGCTAACTCCCATCATAGAAAGATTGAAGCATTCTCTCCGAGATAATTTGCATGATCGCTATTATTGGGACGAATCCACTGATCGCTTGTACCTCAAGGCATCCCCCAATAACCGGTTGTGCATACCACAGTGCGGTGTCCGGTTAAAGCTCATTCAAGAACACCATGAGTGTGCAACGGCTGGCCACCCGGGTCGTGATCGAACGTACTTCCGCCTAGCACGTTTTTTCTACTGGCCCCGAATGGGTCTCGATATCAAGAGATTTGTCAAAACCTGTGATCTCTGCCAGCGAACGAAGGGAGGTCAGCCACGAACAGGGCTTCTCCAGTCACTTCCAATACCTAATAGTCCTTGGCAGGATATCTCAATGGATTTTATTGTTGGATTGCCCCTTACTTCTCGTGGCTTCGACGCAATTTACACCTTTGTGGACCGACTTACGAAATGCGTACATCTTGTTCCAACAAACTCGAAGATTGATGCTAAGGGCAGCGCTCAACTGTACATTCAAAACGTGTTTCGTCTGCACGGGCTGAGCTCAACCATTGTTTCCGATCGCGATCCACGATTCACTGCAGCTTTTTTCAAAGAAGTATTCTCTCAGCTAGGAACTAAATTGGCATTCAGCACTGCTAACCACCCTCAAACGGATGGTTTGACAGAGAGAGTTAACCGGCAAGTGGGAGATGTTCTAAGAGCATTTGTGAACTTGAGACAGGACAATTGGGATTCGCTTCTACCACTCTGCGAGTTTGCAATAAATAGTTCACAACAGTCATCTGTAGCTAATACACCGTTCTATCTGAACTATGGGTTTGACCCTAAGTCCCCGCCCGAATTCATTCTTACGGGAGGGGAAAGGAGTGATTCGGTCGATTGGCTTCATGAGCAGGAAGCCGCACTAAGGATAGCTCGAGATGCTATGCTCGACGCCCAGGCAAGGCAAGCTCTATACGCAGACCAGACGAGAACGCCCAGTGATTTGAAGGTTGGTGATAGCGTTCTTGTCTACAGAGACTTTCTACTGACCCCGGAAGCTCGTGGCCAGCCCTCTCGGAAGTTGCAACCCAAGTGGTTTGGTCCGTATCGTATCCAGGCTAAGATTGGAGCGAATGCTTTTCGCTTGGAACTACCCCGTGAACTTCGCTGCCATCCCGTGTTTAATGTCACTGCTCTTAAACGCTACGAAGAGAACACGATTCCTGGAAGACACCAACCCCCGCCTCCGCCCTTCACAGATCTAGATGGACACACACGCTATGTTGTCGAAGCCGTTTTGAATCACCGACACCGCAGTGGTGAGCAACACTTCCTGGTGCATTGGAAGGGTTACCCCAGCAGCGAAGCCACGTGGGAGCCCGCTGGCAACCTATGTGATGAGTCTGGTCGGAATATTAAACCGCTGCAGAACTATCTAGCCTCACAACGACAGCAGCCTTGATCTAACTGGGCTGAGCCATATGCATCTCTTACTGAGATAGTTAATAATTATGTTATAGACTGATATAGTTTTGCGTCATCTCCTTGTGAGAGTGATGAAGTTGAGTTGGATTACACTTCAATGTGGTTATGCATGTGCATGAGTGATTATTTAATATTCCCCTTTCCACAATTGCATCTCCTAACTGGATTGTGTTATCTAATAGAACCTTGGGCTTCCTATGGGGCCGGGAGAGTGTAATAGTTTTACCTTGACACTTCTTGCTTGTCTTATGGTAACACCTTGTGTTCCTACTATTCTCACTCCTGCGGTTCTCACCTTTCTTTTGCTTTATAACCTCTGGTTTGAACATCATTCGACGAATTCTCCAATCAATCAAGTCTATACTGTTACACGCAAGGGACTGAGGCCAAATGTCCTCAATTTGCAGGTGTCCTCAATTCTCAGTTCCACCCATCATTCACCATACAATAATGTACGTTGTTACGTCCTCACTTTGGAGGTGTGCGTTTCTCAGATGTCCGCAAGGGCAGGTTTGCTTGCACAGTACAGTACTGGCCCATGTCCGTGTGGAAGGGCCAGATATCTGGCATCACTGTGATGTCATCACTGTGATGTCATTATTTCCACACAATTCGCGTAAAAAGTGTAGAACTACTTCCACCAGAACTCACCTACAGGGTACAGTACTTTGAGGTCCCGCTCACACAGATATGAGTGTACATAGCATCACACAGATATGAGTGTACATAGCATCACACAGATATGAGTGTACATAGCATCACACAGATATGAGTGTACATAGCATCACACAGATATGAGTGTACATAGCATCACACAGATATGAGTGTACATAGCATCACACAGATATGAGTGTACATAGCATCACACAGATATGAGTGTACATAGCAGACTCGGCGGAGGACGTTCAGGTTGGTTCATAAGAGTATAATTATTATGTGCATGTGGCTGTAAGTGTAAGTTTGACCTTCAGCCCTGAACCTGACCTCAGCACTTACACGGCCATCAAGACTCTCTAATGAAGCCCACCGGTACCGTGAATGTCGTACAAGTACATGTAGTTCAGTGAGTAACACTTGCTACTCACAAGACATGTCGATGATGTGCAGTACACACATCCAAATCAGTCCTGCTCAAAGACAATGATGTCACGCCCTTACAATCAATCAAACCCTACGACTACGTGTCAACAGACAAATGTCATGACAAAAAGCCTGAAAAGGCAGCAGACGCACTCGCTGAAGCCCACTGACAGTCTGTATCAGACCCCGTTGGCTCACCAATCTAAAGTATAAGAGGTTGCAAGGTAACTCACCGGAGTTCGACGGGCTGTTTTTCCTTCCACCGCTGCTACCGCTACTGACACTGTCGATGTCCGACTTCTCCACAGGTAGCTTAGGGGACTTCTTCACTTTGGCGTAGACCGGCAGTGGCCCGATATCAACAGCTCTCTCCCTGAAAACAGGCTCAAGTAGTGCAGCCATCGCCGAAGTGGGTGGCTATCACACGGAATCCCGAACAACGAGGACTTTGAACGAGTCTTATTTTTTGGTAGGAAGCCTTGTCAGTGAAAATGCCGGTCGCCTAAAACGAAAGCCGAACATCTACATCTACAACCGACCCGCAACGGCTCGTTGTGGACAAGCGAGCTCAGAGCTATGGCCGACCCGGCACGGTGGTAGCTGCTCAACAGTTTTACTTGATGGGCTCTCGGGACGAATAATTTCGAGGGAAGTAATTCAAGCTAACGTTACCGTCGTCAGCAGGAATATCATACGGGGAAGGGACCGCCGGAGCTCAGTGCATTCTCGCTCTAACCTCTTTGCAACAAACATAGGACAAAACACTACAAAACAGTCTGCTGGAAAGCAGAACAGAACTTGGACTGAATCTTGTCAACGCTCAGTTTCTGCACTGAGTTGATGTTGTAACACTAAGTCTTCTTGTCTCTCGTCCTCACACGCCACATGATGCAGTTGTTCACCTGTACGGCGGCAGGGGCAACGGACGCGTAGGATCTCCTCTAGACTAGATACAGTCATGTAGTGGAAGACGCAATGCAGCGCGCGTCGTAGCGGTCAAGGCAAAAAAATGTGTGACTTCGTGTCCTGTTCATACTCATACTCATAGGATGTAGGACGCATGCTAGTGCCATTCGTCATTCTAGATCTACGCACCCATCGCAAAAGATAAGAGCAGCGGCGAGGGAGCGGGAGCGAAGCTGAAGCGGAGTTGCGAGACATCTAAAGGCTAAAAGCGTTGCTGCGCTGCCAAGTGCCAGGGCGCGAGAGAGACTTTACGCCAGAAGATACATGCACGCAGTGGGTGTGTGTGTGTGTGTGTGTGTATGTGTGCGGGAGAAGCAGTTACTGTTCGCGTGAGAGTATGACGCACCAAGGCACTCGGTGTGGATTCGCACCACGGCGTTGTGCCTGCGAACAGTGTCCGCACAGCGACTTTCAACACGATTCGGGGAGGAAGGTTTCACATCAACACGAAAACTGGCAGGAAAGCACCAAGAAACCCCTTGGTGACGGCACTTGGGTTTGAAGTGTGTTCTCGTACGAACCGCTGGTGTGTGTGTGTGTGTGTGTGTGTGTGCGTGTGTGTGTGTGTGTGTGCGTGTGTGTGTGTGTGCGTGTGTGTGTGTGTGTGCTCTCGTGTGTATGTGCGTGCCGTCTGTATTGCTACATGTGTGCACAGTACAATGTTTGTGATAGATTTGAGATTGAGTGTATTTTTTTTAAATTCAAAGATCGCCATTGATGATACTTTTGAGTTTATTTTTGTTTTTTAAATAGTGCTGTGCATGTAATGACTGTATCACACCTGTGACCAGTACTCATGTATGCACCCCATGGAACACGGAGGATATGGACTGAAGCCTTGAGTAGTAGTAGTAGTAGTAATAGAGAGGTTCTGCAAAACGAAAATGTGTACGAACTTTCGCTCTACGTCACGAAGTGAGAAACTTCGCACGAACTTTCGCAACTTTGGACGCGAAACTTGCAGGGAACGCGAAATGAACTTTCGTAGGAAGTTTCGTGAGATTGGGTCATGTCGTACGTGCACTTGGCGCGTGCAAACTACGAAAATGTGCAGAACACAAAGTTCGTGCGAAAATTCGTACACATTTTCGCAAGGCCTGTCGCGAAACTTCATTCGAATTTTCGTTGTGCAGAACCTCTCTAATAGTACTCAGTAGTAGTAGTACTAGTAGTAGTAGTACTACTAGTAATAAAGTACTAGTATATTCTTGGTATATTCTGCTGTGATGGGTGAGTTACGCACCCGGGTTTCATTTTGCCTGCTGCGATGGGCAGTCACGTGCGTTAGGGGCTGCAGCCGCCTCCTACATTCGCCGCAAGGTCGGGAGCCCCTTTGCAGCTTATTGCCGCCGGCTCTGCTGACACGGGCAGAGGCGTGACCGTTCGCCTTTGCATGAGTGGGCCTGTCGACAGTCATGTCAGCTGGAAGAGAGTTCCATCTGCCAGCCGCCGGAAAAGAAATAGAGCGCATGCCATTCTGCGTGTAAACAAGTGGGAGAACTAAGGCTCTTTGTGCCTTGAGTCTACGCTAATCGTGTGGTACCTCTCCAGCAAGTATGATGTACCCATGAATATGTCATGCTCAAATATTCTAAGCTAAGCACATGACCGTAGCTACTGTCTGCGCTTGTGGTCGTTCAACTCTTCGGCGTTTTCAAGTTTCACTGGCTTCACTGGCTGATAACTCTGGTGTCTACGTGAGAGAGAGAGAGAGAGAGAGAGAGAGAGAGAGAGAGAGAGAGAGAGAGAGAGAGAGAGAGAGAGAGAGAGAGAGAGAGAGAGAGAGAGAGAGAGAGAGAGAGAGAGAGAGAGAGAGAGAGAGAGAGAGAGAGAGAGAGAGACACACACACACACACACACACAGAGCGAGAGACAGACAGACAGAGAGAGACACACAGAGAGACAGAGACAGCGAGAGAGAGAGAGAGAGAGAGAGAGAGAGAGAGAGAGAGAGAGAGAGAGAGAGAGAGAGAGAGAGAGAGAGAGAGAGAGAGAGAGAGAGAGAGAGAGAGAGAGAGAGAGATACCGTAGATAGAAAGAGAGAGAGAGAGAGAGAGAGAGACATACAGAGAGAGAGAGAGAGAGACTCGACAAACAGCAAGACAGACATAGACCGTGGAAATAGGCAGAACATGCATATGCTCCTGCAGAATATGCAGAGAGTCCACTAGAGCATGCAGAGAGTTGTTGTAGTTGTTGTTGTTGTTTATTTTATTTCGCGGAGCAGGTTGCCCAATAACAAGAAATCGAAGAGTCTCCTTGAACAGGCAGATAGTCCACTAGATCCGGCAGAGAGGCCACTGCAACATGCAGTGAGTTCACTATAACATGCAGAGAGTCCACTAAAACTAGAACATGTGGAGAGTCCACTAGAAAATGCAGAGTCCTCTAGAACAGCAGAGAATCCACTAGAACAGGCCAAAAGTATGAGAGTACAGGAGAACATGCAGAGAGTCTACTAAGACAGCCATACAGTATACTAGAAAGGCAGAGAGTCAACTGGAACATGCTGCATGATGCAGTGAGTTCACTGGCACACACAGAACGTCCTCTAAAAAATGCAGAGAGTCCCCTAGGACATTGAGTGAGTCCACTAAGACAGACAGGCAGTATACTAGATCAGGCAGGAATTGCACTGGAACATGCCACATGGTGCAGTGAGTTTACTAGAATATGCAGAGCGTCCACAGGAATATGCAGAGAGTCCTCTAGAACAGGCAGAGAGTCCACTAGAACAGGTCAAGAGTAGGAGAATACCTGAGAACATGCGAAGGGTCCACTAGGAAATGCAGAGAGTCCATTAGAACAGGTCAAGAGTAGGAGAATACCTGAGAACATGCGGAGGGTCTATTAGGACAGGCAGTTAGTCGTCAATGAGCATCTAGTCCCAGTGTCAGTTAAAACTGAAAATATGACACATGCTGTAAGTTGCTAGGTTACTACGGGACGGCTGAATTTGATCAGTGTCAGACAGTCAGGGTGAGCACCCGCCATCCTCACTATCATTGACATCATCATGGCTGTGTCCATTGCTGCTCGCTGCCCTGGGGATGAAGAGATGAAACGCAGATTCCAATCCAGCTGCTCGTACATGATGCCGCGTCTCCTCGGTCCAGGTCAAGAATATTTCGTAACCGTTGAGCAGGAGAAAGATGACGTTCTTAGCCATGTAAATACCCACTTCAGTGTCCCCTCTCGTCCAGAGCAGCAGTCGCGGCAGAAAGAAACCCACGTTGAACACGGAGCTCAGAGCCAGATAGGCCAACTTCCCTGCATGGTATGTGTTGTGGCTCTCACTGGGTGACTCCATGGCCACCAAAGCCACCAGAGGCAGGAGGAAACTCATCGCGCCCATAACAGGAATGACCCAGGCCAGGCTGCCGTCGATCGAGTGTTCCAGTCCATCCATTCCTCGACGCTGCTCGCTGAACATCAGGTCCAGGAACTCCGAGTCGTCGAACAGATCGAAAGCCACGCCGACCAGGAGTCGCTCTAAGGCATGTCGCATGTGTTTAGAGTGGTTGACTGCGGCATGCACAAGCAGCACATAGATGACAGCAGTGGCTGCCGTCGTCACTTTCAAGGCGTTCGTTCCCAGCCAATGCTCTGTGCTCAGGTCCGGTGCAATGTACTTGTACACAAGAGTCATTTTCGGCACAAGAACGGCACTGTACAGCGTCCACATAGCCCACAGATGCCTGCGAACGTTTGACGTGCCTGTACGGGATGACAATACCAAAACCCACACGAGGAAGATGGGTAGATCTGCCGCGATCCATGCCACCTGTCTGAGATCGCCTATTTTGGACTTGCTTTTGGCCAGGAACAAGATCAACATCGTGTCTTGTGCTGCAAGCACGAGTAGGCAGAGGCAGCCGAAGCCTATATTCTTCATTGGTCGAAACTCGCCGATCATCTCGCCGACTGTGCCTGTCCCTGAAAGTTGCGTTCGTGCATACGTTGCAAACAGTTCTAAGCCCGTTCAACGCAGAATACGTCGAAGTGAAATTCTCCTACGCCGGCTGGATCTTCCTCAGGCCCACTAGTCATCCACGCTGAATCCCATTAAGACTCACTATTGCCTATTGCCAATTGGTCCTATAGTCCCATTTGACACACCCTACGGCGGCTTTTTTGTGTTTAGTTCCATAGTTTCATGAAGCTGTGCATGCCAAGATCGAGAAATTACTGTAGAAAACAAAACTCAACAAAACTCAAAACCCCTGTCACGCCATAAATTCCGTATTAGGCAGTTGCAATAGCAACTAGTAACCTACTGGACTTTGTCGGCCGAGCAAGTACTTTTTTGTAAAGTCCATTCAGAAAAAAATGAACTTCTAGCTTTTGGCCATAAATGGGTCAAACGTTGAGTTTTTTTAGAATTTTTTTCTGCAATCCCATATGGAATCCTCTTCCAATTATGCTTCTGAAGTTTTTTTGTCCAAAAAGCAAGCCATAGCAAGAATAGGATTTCGGCCAGGTTTTGCCCCAAAAGCACTGAATTGGGAAAAACCATCAAAATCCAGGCCGTTTGACCCCGCCTGCAACAGTGCATTCTGCGGTTCGAACCCCAGTTCAGGCACCCTTTTTGGACCCTTTTTCAAATTTCAAAGTTCGCAGCACTGCACTGTGTACGATGAAATCACGAAAAATCGCCAAATACGGGAGCTCGCCAGAGCCAGGACCCATTTTTTTATGAATGGACTGTAAGCACATACACATGTACAGTGTTGGTGCGCACATCGGGCGGTTAGCACTAGCTACTTGTAATCGGGACTGGAGAGGGGCAATCGAACTCCGTCTCATACTACATTGTACATGTACATTGTAGGTAATAGCTAAAACAATAAATTTTATTTTTAAACAAGCTTTTCGGAGACGGCAGTTTTAATTATACATATAGCAACAAGAACGACTAATTGCATAGTAAGCATTTCCTAAATGTCGACATGCATGAGTAAAATGTTATACGTTGATCGGTTACACCACCACCGTCATCATCTGCCGACTGCCAGGGTGTGGAGTGCTGCACTAAGCTTCCCACCGCGTACCGGTCCTTCTGTCTGCATAGTGCCTGGCAGGATCCGCAGCCCCCCCCCCCCCCCCCCCCTGGACAATTATTTCTGTTAGGAGGTCTGGATGGTGTCTGCCTCCTTCAACAATCCCGTCACATC